AGAGTTTGACACAGGCAACAGGAAAAAGCCTGTTTACATATATATATATATATGACTTAGCTACCCTCAGGCAGAGGGCTGGCAGCCAGCCAACCAGGGCATTGAACAACAGCAGGACTTTTGATCTGTCATTGCTGGCTTGCTTCCTTGTTTCGTCACTCAGAAATTCCCACTTTTTTTCAGACTCTCAAATACACGTGGGCTCATGTTTATCTTTCTCTCTCTTACCTCAAGAGAAGTAGTCCAGAATCTCACGGTAGTAACATGGATTAAATGTCCACTTCTGTATCTTCTCCAAAGCTGACACATGGGCGTGAGCTGCTTACGAGTATTCTTCTCTTCCTCTCTGTCCTTTGGTGTTCAGAAATTATTTCTTCCCACTGTCCAGAGTACTGGTCATATCATTGGAAGGGATAGCCTGGAAACGCTGCCTGCCAATCAACCAACTGGAGCTGAATGCTTTTTATTCTGTTAGAGGAAAAAAAAAATGGATCAGAACATCAAAGACATAGGATCCAAAGAGAAGTAGCAAGAACAAGAAAGCTACAGAGACAAGGAGGGAAAAATAGTCAGATTTCCATGACCAGGTGTTAGGGAAAAACCTCCAGCTTTGTTCATACTGCTCCTGGGGGTTTCTGACCTCAACCAAGAAATGGTGAACACGGCTAATACATGTTTGATCTGACCAAACCCCACTCTACCCCTGGCCAAAAAAGAACCTTTTCTGGAACGTGACATGAATGAGTCCTTTGGAGCTGTTAGCATCTCTAACTGCATGTTTTTAAGGGCTGGATTTGCGGCCCCAGTACAGGGACCCTCGTCATAGTAGCCTGTCACTGCATGAAGGCTGTATTGTGGTATCTCTGAAAGCAGAGGGTTCTACTCTGGCTTGCTGTTGAGACGCTGACACAGAGCCTGATACAGGACCTTTGCAATTTTCTTGTACCTAAGGATCTAACCTATTAGCCAGAGCTGTCTTAAGGCTGTAGGAATCTGTTACATGGATTGCATTCTCTCTGAGGGCTGTTTCTGTTCCCCAGAGTGAGGCTGAGCCCCAAATCCACTCGTCATGGTTTTTCTTGGATATGCCTAGCAGTAACCGTGTTGTGCTAGGCAGTCAAGACTGCTAGTCAGATGCCCAAAACTGGAGTCTCTGGTAATCAGGCTAGCAAACCATCTGCATTTTACATCCACAAAGGGCCTGTCCAAATATGTGGAAGGGGCCATGAGTCCTACCCAGGTGAGCTGTTACTTTATGGAAAGATAAACAGAAACTAACAGCAGAATTTTTTTAAGATTTATTTATTTTAAAGAGTTTTGGAAAGAGAGCGAGAGACAGAGAGAGGAAGAGAGAAATCCCATCTGTCAACTTGCTCCCCAAATAGCTCCAATGGCCAGAACTCAACCAGGTCAAAGCCAGGAACTTCTTTCGAGTCTCCCACGTGAATGCACTTGGGCCATTTTTCAGTTTTCCCAGGAACATTAGCAGGGAGTTCGGGTGGACGTGGAGCAGCCAGGACTTCAACTGGCACCCACATGAGACAGCAGCTTCGCAGGCAGCAGCTTTACCAGCTATGCCACAGTACCACCCTCAGGAGGTGGGATTTAGCCTCAGTAAGAATAAGGTGGGTGTTAAAGCCCTACCAGGTGTATGTGTGAGGCCCAGACTTATCTGTGTCGTCCCCTGGGAAGACACCCTGTTGATACCCCTTATCTGGATGGAAAGGAAGAGAGCTGGCCTGAACACAGCACAGACTAGGCAGTGTCTAAAAGGGCATTTACAGTGCTAGCTGCAACACCACTGATTTTGAGCCATCCCCTCAATAGCAATGGTTGCAAGGGTGACAGGAGCCCAAGCACTTGGGCCATCTTCCACTCTGTTGCATCAGCAGCAAGCTGAACTGAAAGGTTACTGGGAAAGCAACAGAGGATGGTCCTAGTGCTGGGATCCCTGCACCCACACGGGAGACCCAGGAGAAACTCCTGGCTCCTGGCTAACAGTTCTTCCTGCTTCTGCTGGCTGCAGAGTTACACTGGCAGAAAAATACTGTGTGATAATGTGCTGGGTTATGTGATTCTAGCAAGCCATTAAAGTCTTTTATTTATTTTTTATGATTTATTTATTTTCACTGGAAAGGCAAATTTACACAAAAAAAGAGAGACAAAGATCTTCCACCTGCTAGTTCACTCCCCAAGTGACCACACAGCTGAAGCTGAGCCGATCCATAGCCAGGAGCCAGGAACTTCTGGGTCTCCCACGTGAGTAAGTGCAGGATCCAAAGGCTTTGGGCTGTCTTCTGCTGCTTTCCCAGGCCACAAGCAGGGAGCTGGGAGAGCTGGGTGGGAGGCAGAGCAGCCAGAAGAAACTGATGCCCCTATGTGATCCCAGAGCATGCAAAGCAAGGACTTCAGCCACTAGGCTACCTGGCCGGGCCCTTCTTTTTTTTTTGCAAAGTATTTTATTTTTGAAGACACATAACTACGTAAGTGTGTTTACATATTCAGGAGACATAATGTGATTTTTCAATGCAGGTCTATCCTGGGTAATGATCTGAAAGAGAGAAAGAAAGGGTTAATGCTTTCATGGCTTCTATACGTGCTTAGCAAGATGAGATAAGAGACAAGAAGAAGGCAGTACCAGGCCCGGGCTGCGGGAAAGGGGTCTGGGTAGACAATAGAATGGGCCATAAAACTTAAGGCCTGCCACAAAAGTATGTTAAGCTTGTGGTGTGTGCCTATAAAAGACCGGTACCCCCGGAATTCAGGGCTTCTCTCTCCCTGTTGGAGTAGGGGCCCGTTCGCGAACGTCAATAAAATCCTCTTGCTTCTTGCAGCCTCTAACCTGGTTCTTGAGCTCTCGGGCGGCGACTCTTGGGGTCCGTAACCGTTAGACCCCCCCCCTCAGGGTTTAACAATCAAACTGGGGACAGTGACATGCTCATCAATGTTTGATGAAGGAAGGGAGATGGCAGGATCTAGGTGGATTTTTGTAAGCTATTTGCATACAAAATTCAATCCAAGGTGGGAGCTGGTGTTAGCTCTTTGTGAACGTTCCCTTGCAGGACAAGTGTTCTGCAAAGAGCATCTTACCTGACTTGCTATAGGCATGAAAAAGGCTTTAGACCCAAGACATCCACATCAGAATGCCTGGGTTTGTAAGTGCTGGGTCTTTGCTTGATTCCAGTTTCCTAGTGTTGCAGGATTTTTGACCCTGAATACGGCAACAACCTCAATTCTTGTCTCGCAGGAAAGAAGAATTTTCGTGCGGACACAGTTTAGTTTTAAAGCAAAATTTATTAGAAAAGCTGAGAAGAGATGACTCCCGTCCTAGCGACGGGAGGGGGGTTTGAGATAGAAAGGACCCTTACCCCCTGCCATAGTGACAGGAGGAAGAGTAAAAAGAAGACCCTAGTGCTCTGCCATAGTGGCAGGAGGAGAAGAACCAGTATTAATGGTGGGGAATGCACCTTTTAAAGGTTACCCTCAAAGATGTTTCTCCATGAACAAAGAAAATTCCTGGTTTCCATGGTACCTGGCCTTGGGACAAAAGGCCACAGAGGTGCCAGACATAGGACATTCCAGGCCTTAGGCAGATGTGTATTACTTCTTCCTGCTCTCCTTTCAATGATAAAGAGATCAGCCTGAGGCCCTCCCACAATGGCCAGAGGTAGTGGCCCATACTTCAGGTGGGGAATTGGTATGTTAATGGTACCCCTGTCCCTTGGAAGAAACGTGCCCTGGTGAATCCAAGACATGGTGGGGGAAATTCTCTTTTACACGGGGACCCAGAATACCCTAACTGCCTACTACCCACTCTAACTCCTCTCTCACTACCAAGGCCAACTGCAGGAACCAGCGCTTGATGGCTCAGACATTTGAGTCCTGCAACCCATAGGGGAGATTCTGATTGAATTCCGGACTCCCAGCCTAACCCTGGACGAGGTGGGCATCTGGGGAGTGAATCAAAAGTTCTCTCTACCTCTTTCTCTTGCCTTCACTTTCACACACATCTTTTAAATTAACATTTGAAATAAACTTTGTTACAGAAAAGTGGTTGCAAAGAAAGAAACAATCTCAAGAAGACAGAAACAGTTAAATGCAGTTTAAGAAAACAGGCAGTTATACTAGCTATTACTTTTGCAGTATTAATGACCTCTGTTTTTAATATAATGGTAAGTTTCCATAAGCGATAATCATGTTTAAGAACTGGCTAGTCAAATCCTTGACATTTTAGCAATCCTTCTCTCACAAGGCCCACAAGCTAGCTCCACTGCACGACTGGCCTGGGCACACGTCCTTTGTAACAATACAGAGACTCCATACGCATGCCTTTCAGTGGTCTCAACGATAAGATGAAAAGGGGCTGGGAGCGACTGAGCCTGCACAACATGTTAACAAACGGTGGAGAAGGCAGACGGTATTGGTCTCAGGTGTAACAGCCAGGCTACGAGTGCATTTTCAGGTATCAGTCGACCACCGCATCCTGCAAATGATCCTAGGATTTCTATTTGGACTTATTGCTCGCTTAAGGGCCAAAAGAGTCCTTTCTCTCATTCATGGGCACGCATGGGCGCTGGGGCAAACGGACAGCGGCCATTTACTTGGATAAATGCCCTTTGCGCCCAGCAGGCTCTTGCATCAATCTACACTAGCAAGAAAATCCTTCATCCAACCAGTCTGCCCCAGGCACCTTTTTTCGGGAGGAAGATCCACCCCCGAGCACCGAAGCACGGGATTCGGCCGGCGTCAGGCGGGAAGGATGACCGCTAATTCCCTAGTCACCAGGACAGAGCGGTAAAACGAGACCTGACCGGTCCACGGCGGCGACCCGGGGTGCCCCTGTCGCTCTACCCAGTCGGCTTTTCAGCCAGCCAGGGCGCAGAGCCTCCCGGAATTGAGGGGCTGTGAGGCCTGAAGGCGAACGGAAGACGCCTGGGCGAGGCCCCGCCTGCCGCACGCCCGGGAGGCCAGGCTCCGCCCTGCGCCCTGCGCCCTGGCCGGGCAGCCGGTGTGTCCGGCAGCGCCTGGACTTGGCGGCCGCGGGAGCCGGAGCTCGGAGCCATGCTGAGGAGCTGCGCCGCGCGCCTGCGCGCCCTGAGCGCCCTGCCGGGACGCGCGCACTGGCCTGCGAGCCCGCCGGGCCCGGCGCTGGTGAGTGCAGGGAGCGGCGCGGGCCCGGGGCGCACGGCGGGACTGAGCCCCCACCAGCCTGGGGTGGTCCCGGCCTGGACCAGCCCAAGTTCCGTTTTCTGAAAACGAACGGCGGCGCCCGCCACAAGGACTGGGAGAGGCTTGAGGGCGAGGCGGGAGAAATGTGAACGCCGATGGGACTGAGTCGGGAAGCATCTCGCGGGACGCGGGACGCGGGACGCGGGACGAGGGTCAGCCCGGGTGTGCCGGGGCAGAGAAGGTCAGGTCACCCGGGAAAGCCAGGGCAGAGGACAGGTCGCCCGGGAAAGCCAGGGCAGAGATGGAACCTCGGCCATCCGCTCGGCCGGCGAGTCCCTGGCGTGTCTTGTTTCTGATGATGGCGATCAGCTCTGGAGATGGATACAAGGCTTCTGCTTCTCCCAGAATCAGACTCTCAGCCATTTTCCTCACCTTTCCTGCTGTGTTATAAGATAAAGATAAGGCGAGGGAAGTGATGATCTTAATGTCTGGAGATCTAGCATTACATGACTATTACCCCTCCTGTCCCTGGTTGGCGTCCTTGATTCATATTAGTTAAGCCTCGGTACTGGGAGCTATCATGGGCTACTGATGACAGACAGGTGAGAAACAACCCCATCCCCAAGGAGTTCGCAATCCAGTTTGCCAAGACAAGACAGGTTGTAAAATTAAAGTTAGGTGTGGACCACGTGCTGTAATAAAACACTAAGGAAGCAGGAAAAAAAAAACAAAAACCAGCAACTGGAAAAGGGCTTTGGATGGCTGGAAGCTAGTGCAGCTTTTCCTTGAAAATACCGAGCGTAGATTGGTCACCAATCATGTACCATCTTGCCCATTGGAAAAGAGACCGCCTTAAAGTTAATCTTGTAAACATGCAGATAGATTCGTTTCTCTTTAATTACATGATGTGCCTTGTGATCTCTGTTGGCTGCTTAACTGTTAGTATTTACAGTCTTTATAAACATGCTGTTTTGCTTAGTAACTTAATTTTTAAAAGGGGAGACATGTGAAAGCAAAAAGTCATAAAGCTTCTTAATGAGTCCTGCTTTATAAATGTATAAAGATCAAGCAAGACCTTTCCTTTATTCCAAGCAACAAAAGATAATGAAGGGTATGCCAGCAAGTGTCCCTCATTGTACAGTCTTTGCTTTGAATTCACAAGAGCACTTACTTTGTAAGCATCTCTTAATTCTCACCTCCTTGAAGTGAAACTTTTTTCATTTTTCTAATTTTTATTTTTCATGATACAGTTTCTTATTCTCAAGGATTTTCCCTTTTGCTCCCCCATTCCTCCCATTTTAACCCTATATTACAGTAGTACAGTGCTTCCACAGCAGTCACAGGTCCATCTTTCTGCTGTTTAAGTGAGTCATGGAATTGTAGGCATAGACAGTGGTAGAAAGTCCAGCATCCTATCGTCAAAGAGCCATTGAACAGTTTCACTGGGAGTCCATCTTTTATTCGGGAGTAGAGATGCACATTGCAGTATATCTTGTGGAAGTGAAACTTTCTTAATTTTAATTTTCCACAGTTAACACCTAGAGTAACGAATTCAATATGCTCCAAATTAAAAAAGAAATAGATGTATATATATTTATTGGAAAGGCAGGTCAGATTTACGGACAGAAAGACCTTGTATCCTCTGGTTCACTCCCCAAATGGCTACAACAGCTGGAGCTGAACTGAGTCAACCAAAGCCAGAAGCTTCTTCCAGGCCTCCCATGTGGGTGCATGGTCCCAAGGCTTTGTTTGGGCTGACCTGTACTACTTTCCCAGGCCATAAGCAGGGAAGTGGAGCAGCCAGGACACTAACTGGAGCCCATATGGGATCCCAGCACTTGCAAGGTGAGGATTTAGCCATTGAGCCATCACGCTAGGCCATACCCACTCTAAACTAAAATTAATGCCTCTCTTGTTCTTCCTCACCCACACACTCCTACAACAAAAATCTTTGCATCTGTCCACTTCGATCTTTGAGGCCACTACTTGACAATCACTCAAGAACCTCTGCTTTCTCTTCTAGAGTCAGTGGCCCTCCACATGCCTTGGCCCTGATGTCTAAAACGTCTCGTAAACCTTGTCGTCTTCTCTGTGAGTCTGCTTCTCATTCTAAGTGTACCTGACTTGGACCTTTGCAGTCATCTTTCAGCCAACTTCACTACCATTGCTTCTTGCCGCTTTGTTTACACTAGATATTTCTGAATCTTAGGTTTGTGTTACTCCCTTTCTTCAGACTGCTTAAGGCTCCCCACAATGAAAAAAGGCATTTTATCATTCAGTTCCACCTTCATAATTCTTTAAAGACTCCCTTTCTTCCATTAGCTTCATCCTGAAGAATAACATTTGTAAAATCACAGATATATATGTGCGTCATGTAATACTATGTAAAATATTTCAGATTATGTATATCTTTGTCCTTCTGCTGTATTAAACCTAGTCCTTCCTAATGGTCTTTGGAAGCATTGCCATTGAGGAGGAAATCTGAGGTCCTGCCTTAGAACCAGAGTCTACTCCAGCATGCATACCTTGCTGCTTCTGCTCTGTTTGCATCTATAGGTCTGAAAGCTGTGGTCCCGGCAGCTCCCATGTTTCATTCCTCTGGGCATCCCCACTCCCTCTCAGCATTTTTTGTCCTTAAGTAATCATACTGTCTTTTTGAGGCTTTCCTTAAGTCACTGCTTCTGTATGTGTTTCCATTTCTATTGTGTATTTTCCATCTGAGACTATGAACACTTCAAGGCAGGAGTAGGTCTTCTGTCTGTCTCATCTGTCCCTGGTGTAGATCCAAGGCACAGAGTCGAGCTCAGAAGGGTTGATTAGATTTAGCTGAGTTGCACACTTTGAAAGTTAAAATCAGGTCGAAGAGCCCAGAGGTAAAGGAATGATTCTAATTTCTACAAGTCTCCAATGAGCTGTGTTTTAGTAGTCCATAAAAGGATACTAATCATGTCACTTCCCAGACCAAAATGCCTTAGAGAGCTCTGCTGTTTAAGTTTTCACTTTGTTATAACTTAAACCAGTTAGCTTAGTGTTGGGTTTTGCCGGCCTCTCCGCAGTGTGACAGTGCCTAGCTTTGGACCTCAACTTCATCTTCTGTATCCACCCAGTCTGTTTCATGCTACTTATACAGAGCAACCCTTTGCCCACAATGTCCTTTGCAGCCAGCTAATTTCTCCCTATCTAATCAGTATTCAAGCAAAGAACCTCTCTCAGAACATCAAGTCTGAAATGAGCAGGCCTCCCTTGTCCTCCAGCATCCTGGCATACCCCTCCAGGAGCACTTTTACGTTGAGGATAACGTCCGTCCTTCCTCTGTCCTGATTGCCAGTGCCTGATGGCGTCTGTGCTTGATTAAAGCTGGTGAAAAAGCAGATGGGGGCTTAAGGCTGGCTCTGCTGATAGATGGCTGGGTGAGAGTGGCAAATCCTTCACCCTCTGTGTCCGGTTTCTCCCTAGAAAGGTGGACCAGGTTATCCCTGAAATTCCCTTCTATTGAACAATAACTGTCTTCTGGAAAGAAGAAAGGCAACAAGATTGTTGTTGTTGAAAACTGGGAGAATACCTTACCAACCGGGACTGCATCTCCCACTGCTCTACTTTTTCTTCTGTCTTGTAGAGGTTATTTTCTTCTGAGAAAGACACTCTGAGGGACTATTCTCTCCCCAACCCCAGCTGGAACAAGGACATAAGACTCCTCTTTGACCAGTTCATGAAGAAATGTGAAGATGGCTCCTGGAAACGTTTGCCTTCTTATAGACGTAAGTCTACTCCAAGGATTCAAAACTGCAACAATCTTTTTCTTGGTAGAAACAGCCACATTCCGTCAAAAATAATGGAATATCAACTGTCAGAGCAGACCGAAGCACTCGCTGCTGCTTTAAGAGGCAAGGAATCCAAATGTGGGACCTCTCTAGTCCCCAGTTTTTAGGCCAGGAGTCTCAGTTAATTTTACAGAGTGTGAGAGAACATAAAACCCATTGTTAAGAATAAGACTGTTTTCATGGGCCAGGCACAATGGCTGGGTGGCTAAATCCTCATCTTGCGAGTGCCAGGATCCCATAAGGGTGTCATTTCATGTCCTGGCTGCTCCACTTCCTATCCAGCTCCCTGCTTGTGGCCTGGGAAAGCAGTAGAGAATGACCCAAGTCCTTGGACCCAGCACCTAGGTGGGAGACCTGGAAGAAGCTTCTAGCTCCTAGATTCAGATCGGCTCAGTTCAGCTCCGGTTATGGCCACTTGGGGAAGGGACAAGCAGATAAAAGATTGTTCTTTCTGTCTCTCCTCCTCTCTGTAAATCAACCTTTCCAATATAAATAAATAAATCTTAAAAAGAAGAATGCCAAAGTTAGAATGCAGTTTTTGTTTTGTTTTGTTCCAAAAGCTTTGTTTTTATTGAAAAGGCAGATTTAGAGAGAAGAAGAGACAAAGAAAGTTCTCCCATCTGCTGATTCACTCCCTAAATGGCTGCAATGGCTGGAGCTAAGCTGATCTGGAGCCAGGAGCATCCTCTGTGTTCCCGACACAAGTGCAGGGTCCCAAGGCTTTGGGCTGTCCTCTACTGCTTTCACAGGCCACAAGCACAGAGCTGGATGGGAAATGGAGCAACCGGGATGCAAACCAGTGCCCATATGAGATCCTGGCACATGCAAGGCTAGGATCTAGCCACTGAGCCCTTGTGTTGGGCCACCATGGCATTCTTAACCACCATCAACAAGAGTGACAAGTTCCCAGAGTGCCTTTACCCTCCCACTACCTCATCACCTCCCTATCTTGCTCATGTCATTCCTAATCTCATTTTTCCTTTATCCGATATTTGGGTCAATCATTGAGAAGCTTAAGACACCTGCACCATCTTCTCATCTCTGAGCCCTGAAGGCTACCCTACTCTGTAACACACACATGCAGTACACACACACACAATGCTTACACATGTCAGTCCTAGCTCTCTGGGGATTTCTAAAAAATTTTTGGTCTTAATGAATACACTTTTTGTTTTCAGCAGTTTTAAGTTTATATAAAAATAAACAGAAAATACAGAATTCCAATGTTTATATTAGTATGCACTCTATGGCATATGTGCATTTTCCATGGGTTTTAACAAGTATGTGATTCCTTGTATCATTTATTATAATATCATACTGTTTCACTACCCTAAAAATCCTGTATTGTACCCACTATTCCCTCTCTGTTCTCTTTACTACCTCCAATTTTACCTGTTCCAGAATGTTATAGGATTATAACTAGAATAATTCAGGATGGAGTCATTTTTAAGTTAGCTTCTTTGACCTAATAATATCCATGTGAGATGTGTTTAGTTTTTCCCATAACAATCACCCATCTGATACTTCAATGTTTTATCTGTGTAATGGCTTCTCTCTCATCTTGAGTTCAATGAGGGCAGAGGTTTCTCTGTTTTATTTCTTCCTGTTGTGAGTAGTACCTGAAAAACAGTAAACATCTTCCAAAAGCTGAGAGTTAATAATGCCTGCCCTCACCTACCATTCTGGAAGATGCTATAATGGAGGCTAGTGCCATGGTATAGTAGGCTAAGTTTATGCCTGTGACGCTAGCATCCCGTATGGGCGCCAGTCCATGTCCAGCTGCTCCACTTCCCATCCAGCTCCCTGCTTGTGGCCTGGGAAAGCAGCCGAGAATGACTCAAATCCTTGGCCCTTACACCTCGTAGGAGACCCAGAAGAAGCTCCTAGCTTTGGATTAGCTCAGCTCCAGCCATTGCAGTCATTTGGGGAGTGAACCAGCAGATCTTTCTCTCTCTTTCTCTACCTGTGTCTGCCCTTCTCTGTGTAACTTCGCCTTTCAAATAAAATCTTTTTTTAAAAAAAAACGAAAGATGTGGTTAATGACTAATTGGGATTCTTGCCAGGAGTCAGGTTCTCCCACCTGAGTGGCAGGACGCAAACAGTTGTGTTATCCTCAGCTTCTTTTCCCAGGCCATTAGCAGGGAGCTGGACTAGTAGTGGAGGAGCTGAGATATGAACTGGTGCCCATAAGGGATGCCAGAATTGCACCTGGCACCTTTATCCACTACTCCTCAGTGCCGGCTCAGGACCTACTGATTTAAAGCACTTGATAAGTGTGGGTAATAATTGAAACAAGTAGACTAAATAAATCGAATCAGAATAAACAGAAACAGATTCTGAGGATAGCAAGGGACCATCACAATTATTCTCACACTCCAATACTTGTTCCTCTTTCGCCTTTGGAGTCATCATCAGCCTCTTTTCTGAATGTTTATCGAGCACATTTTCAGTCAGGGGCATGGTAATATGAGTACTAATAGGTTTCCTCAGGCCTGGTGGGTCCATACATCACTTCCGGTCCAGGCAGGGGCTTCTGGGTATTGTAGTCTCCTGGCATGATTGCATCATCTATTCCCCCCCACGTCCTATCTACCTTCCTCCTCCTTCCCAACCCTGACAGGCCTTATAGTCCTGCTAGAACAAGATCTTACTGTTGTGAGATGCAACCCACTTTCATGAGAGATTCATCCTTGTTAATGCCCTGGTCACCTGTTAAAGGCTCCATCTTCCAATACCGCCACAATGGTGATCAAATTTGTGTGTGTGTTTGAGGGGAGGAACTTCCTAATCAAAGCATAGCAACCATTCATGGAACTCTGCTGTCCAGGAGCACACAGGATAAGCACAACCCTTCTGCTTCCCGTTCCTTTTGCATGGAAAACTCAATATTCACCTCTCTTTCCTCTGCACCTGCCAGTTCTTTGCTGGGCCAAACTGCTCTGTTCTTTTTGAGCTTTTCTCCCTGGTTGCTTTTCTTGGGGTATGTGCTAATCTGCTAGAATCCTTCTTAGTGAATATTTCCCAGAATTAAGTTTGAAACTCAAATGAAGATTTGTCCAGGGAGAGTAGGATCCACGTCACACTGTCCACTCTAAATCAGCTAGCATACTGTGACTCACACGTGAACTGTTTGTCTCAGTGCGGCTGACTTATCGAGCCTTAAGATTTGTTTTATATTTATTTAATCCAGTCTTCATTTTTTAGAGTCAGCCTATAAAAGCGTTTGTGGTTTCCTATACAGCATGTAATATTTATATATTCAACAAACAGCTACAGTTGCTTTAAGTTACTTAGAAACTATTTTTTAGTTAACATGAAGTAATTTATAATACTGATTCCATTTTAAGTGTCACCACATCACACAATTAATTGTCCTTCTCCAGTGCTGTCTGGCTTTCCCTAACGGCTCTATGCTGTACTTATGTTCTCATTCTTCTTGAAATCATTTTCTTTGACTTTCATAAACCTCTTTAACCCATGTCCCTACTCTCCTTCTGTCTGTTCCTTAAACGTCAATATGTTTCAGAGTTTTCATTCTCATGCCATTTGGCCTTTCCCCCATGTAACTCCCCACTTCTCTCTTAACTGAAACCCTGTCAGAATCAAGAAGAAGTTTGAATTCCTCTTTGCTACCACTCTCTGCTTTCCAGCAATGGCTTCTTCCTCATCTTAGAAAACCTCCTGTTCCTTTAAGGTTTAAATATTACCTATCACCTGCTCGTCCCCCCCTCTGTTTAACGGTGTCATCTACTCACCTCTCTCCCTTTGGGTGTTTCAGCAGCTCCCTTCACCATTGTCAGCAACTCCAGCAGCCACTTGGTGGCCCCTTCTTGCCTGTGACCTTTCCCCCAGGCCCAGCCACACACTACTCCAGTGTATTGAGCCTTATCATCACAAATAGCACAACCTCCACATCTATACATTTAGGTGGCCTGTTTTTCTTTCTTTCTTTTTTTTTTTTTATTTTATTTTTTGGTGGGGGAGGGATCTAATCTTTTTTTTTTAAGTGGGTAAGACTATTATTTTTCCAGATTGTTTCCTTCATGTTTAAAGGGGGGTATTAAGGGAGAAGGCCCACCCAATTTCCCACCCTCCCCAGGTCCCAGATGTAGGGTATGCTCTGAGGTTCTTGCTCAAGTGGTTTTTGATATTTCAACAGTTATGAATCACTGCCAATCTTGTAGGTGGCCTGTTTTTCAACCACCATCTTTTCTTTCCTGCTTACTTGTTCAGGGACCCCCAAAACTCATCTTTCAGAATTTTCTAGTTCCCGTGGATGGCAGGGACCCAAGCCCTTGGGCCACCTTCCACTGCTTTCCCAGGCGCATTAGCAGGAAGCTGGATCGGAAATGGAGCAGCAGGGACCCAAATCAGCACACCCTTATGGAGTACTAGTTATGCTTCAAGGCCAGCCCCTTCTGTTTATTTTTTTAAAGTTTGATTAAAACCCACTAATTCAATTTCATGAATCCTGATGAATCTCTCTCTCAGTTTAGGTAACAATCATATTGAATATTGGGCTGAATTGGGCATGTTTCTGATTCATTGTAATGAATAGGTAAAATTCATGTTTGCCAGAAAAACATTTTCCTTGTTATTATGTTATTCATTTTCTTTAACTCCCTTTATTCCAAGAAGAATTTCTGTTTATACCTTATCACTGTATTATGTTAGCATTATAGATGACATTTTCTGATTGCCATGTGTGGAGAAGGACTTTGTTTTGATTCCATATGTGTGTATCCCTTACGAGGTTATTAATTCTCCAAGGGCAAAGTCCCTGCACACTGTTCCTTTGAGGCATTACTGTTCCATTCCGTGCCTTTGACATTTTCAGCAGTGACCCAGTGACGTGTCATTTGTACAGAGTGCACATGTTTCACTCTGTCAACGTGTTTCTCACTCCATGCACTTCTCCTCATTTCCCTGCAGATTCAGTTTTTGAGATAGAGAGAGACCCAAAGGCCCAGATGTTCACAAGAAGCCTCGAGGAAGGCATGGGCTTCGAATATGTGTTGTTCCACAATGACACCGAGAAAAGGATGGTTTGCTTGTTACAAGCAGGTCCTCACCTGCAGGGAAACCATGGGTAAGAATCATAGCCTGCTGCCATGACTGTCAAACACCCCTGCACAGCCATGGACCACAGGAAGGGCACCGACAAGGTGATGGAGATGGATGTGTACTGACTGACAGAGAAAAATGTTGTAATGTGTTCTGAAAGGACATGGGGCAAGGAGGTATAATTTGAAGGAGTATCAATTCTGTATTAGCAGTGGTTTATCATTGGTGCAGTATAATGGGTCTTTCTGGTTTCTGATAGATAGATAGATAGATAGATAGATAGATAGATAGATAGATAGATAGATAGATAGATACACACACACTTCTCTGCATTTCCTAGATTTTTTATCAGTGAATATATGTGGTTTATTTAATAGAAACATACTAAGGGTGGGCTCTGTGGCACAGCAAATTAAACTAGTACTTGGAACATCCATAGCCCATCGTGGAGTGTGGTTCAAGTACACTACTTCCAGTCCAGCTTCTGGCTAATGCACTTGAGAAGGCAACAGATGATGTCATGAGTACTTGGGTCAGAAGCCTGGCCGGAGTTCTGAGCTCCTGGCTTTGATGTCCTGCAGCCCTGAGTGCTGTGGGCACTGGGGAGTGAACCAGGGGATGAAGGATGCTCTAATTCTGCTTTCAAATAAATCATTTAATCTTTTTAAAATGAAAAACATGATGAACTTTTTCTAGATTTGCATGCTTATGATCTGATAATTAAGTACAGGTTTTATTATATAAGCTTAAAACAGCACTGTTTTTGCTATGAACAAAATGGAGTTGGGACTTAGGGGTATTTGACATGAAATTCTCTGAAAATGAAGTGGCCTCTCCCTAAGTAAATTGTGTGAAGATATTTGAGTAACTTCTCCATCTTAGGTTGGATGGTCTGTGTTTTCAGAACTGCTCTGTTTCTCTTGTTATCACTAGGTACGTTCATGGAGGTGCCATTGCGACCATGATCGATATGACTGCTGGTTCATGTGTATTTGTAACCGGAGGATTTGTCATGACTGCCAATATGAACATCGATTATAGAAGGTAAACTCATTCGTTTTGTACTTTTCATTAGGGATCATGTCAGATTCCTCAGCAGCAAATCTAGAAACAACAGATTTGAGGAGTCTTTGCCCTGGAGAATGCAGTACATGAAAAAAACATGCTTGGATTTCAGATTTTTTCTTGTATACCAAAATAAATATATCTTTTAATTTTGATTTTCTGCACACTTTAAGTGCCCTCATAGTTCTATGCAGTGGACTATTATGGAAGTAATCCCAAAAGAAACTGGCAAGAGAGTACAAGCAAGATGAGGACAGCTTGGAAGACAGCTTGAGATTTCAAAGTCCCGGAGTAGCTGGAAAAAAGGGATTCAGGACATTTGGATAGAGCGTGGACATCCATTGGGTAACAAAACGTGCAAGTTTTGTATAATGACTCAGAGAAATAAAAGAGCAGTAAGATGATTTTGATATTGGGCCCAGCATGATGGCTCAGTGGTTAAACCCTTGCTTTGCAAGCGCCAGGATCTCCTGTGCACGCTGGTACATGTCCTGGCTGCTCTACTTCCTGCTTCTTCCTGGTCTCCCACGCAGGTGCAGGGTCCCAAGGCTTTGGGCCGTCCTTGACTGCTTTCCCAGGCCACAAGCAGGGAGCTGGATGGGAAGCAGAGCAGCCAGGACACAGACCAGCACTCATATTGGGTGCTGGCACTGACAAGCAGAGGATTAGTCAGGTATGCCATCACGCCAGCGCCTCCCTACCAGCTTTAATATGGCTGGTTTCATCCTTGGCTTTTGTCTGGAGTCTCCTAACTGAATTCTGGATTTCTCACAAAATTATACAGTACAATCAATCAATAAATAAATAAAAAACAAAATTATACAGTACAGTTTTTTTAAAAGGGTTATTTATTTTATTGGAAAGTCAGATATACAGAGAGGAAGAGACACAGAGAGGAAGATCTTCCATCCAATGATTCACTCCCCAAGTGGTCACAATGGCCAGAGCTGAACCAATCCAAAGCCAGAAGCCAGGAGCCTCTTCCAGGTCTCCCATGCAGATGCAGGGTCCCAAGACTTTGGGTTGTTCTTGACTGCTTTCCCAGGCCACAAGCAGGGAGCTGGATGGGAAGCAGGGCTGCAGGTATATGAACTGGTGCCCATATGGGATCCTGGCGTGCGTAAGGCAACGACGTTAGCCACTAGACTGTGGCACTGGGCCCAGTTATATGCTACAGATGTTTTAAATACTAAAGAACTAATTAAAACCATAACCAAGTTATACTACTACAATAAATTTGGATAACAAGCCTCAATAAATTACAATAAATAGGATAACTTCCAAGTGCCTCAAATGCAGAATTAGCTCAGTAATTACAGAAGTTACTGTTTTATCTATACTTTGTTGCAGTCTTTTTAAATCTGGGTTTGATGAATATCTTCAGAATGCCAACACTGATCTTTCCATGAGGTTGATGCACTTGCTCTTGCAGCTTCCCTAGGATCCCAGTGATTGTGTCAGACCGTCTCAGTTTGGCCAGATTTATAGGTTCTGGGCTATCAAGCTGGGTCATTCTATTTTTTTTTCCAAAGGTATATTTATTTTTATTAGAAAATCAAATTTACAGAGAGAAGGAAGAGAAGGAGCTCATCCGCTGGTTCACTCCCCAAGAGGCCACAACAGCCAGAGCTGAGGTGATCCACAGCCAGAAGCCAGGAGCCTCTTCCAGGTCTCCCATGTAGGTGCAGGGTCCCAAGGCTGTACTGCTTTCCCAGGCCACAAGCAGGGAGCTGGAAGAGAAGTGGGACAGCCAAGATACGAACCGGGCCCCCCAGTTTACTCTTGATGAGACACATTTTTGCCTGTGAAGGCGATTTGCTCAGAAGCCTGAATTTATGTGGCTAATCCTCTCCTATGGTCAAAATTTCCTTCCTGTGTCAGAAGGACTTTGTAAGCCGCCAACTTTCCTGATAAGCTGTTGTTTCCCTTTGGTTAGCATCAGGCACACATTTTCTGCTTCAGCTTTCCACTTACCTGTCAGACACATCCCATTTGATTGCATGGGCAACTTGAGGTCCTATCTCCCAGAAAACAAGCCATGTAGTTGTCATTCAGAGAAATCCCATGAGCGGAGCCATCTGTCTTACATTCTATGAAGCTGCTTCCTGTTTTCTGGAATCCTTTCTGTTTAGAGTATAGTGCCTCTATTTCTTGGAATTGTTGAATTTCCTGCGAGTTCTCCAGTTGGCTAGTGGAGGTCAAATGGAGATCATGCAGGACTCTCAATCCCTAGGTGGTGTTTTATCCGTGGGTGTAAATCAGGTGAATGCCCACAGATGTGCTTACCCCCTGGCGCTCCACCTGCTCCTCAGGCACTTTGGGGTAGTCGCAGCAGTAATAGACTTGATCAGGATGTGAAAGGTTGCCCATGTCTCTGTCTCCTATGAGTTCGTGGAGATTCTCCGGCCCCTTAGATTCACATGTGGAAGACTTCTTGCTGAGTCTACCCACACCTTACAGCTCAGAGTCCTTGTGCTTTGCTGATGTGTGGCAAGTGCAGACAGAATTCTTTGAAGGCAGCCTCACAACACCTGAGCCATACACATCCCCAACTCTGTGTATACCTCCGATTGTTTCCAGAGAGTAAGATACCTGTAAGATAGACACATAACTTCCTCAGAAACGCTTGCTTGCCAGCACTGGTGTGGTATGTTTAAACTACATAAAAAGCTAAACTTACTCGCGGCGTGCTTTCTGTTGCTGTCACTGTTATCGCTGTAGAGCAGTTTCACTTTCTGTGGTGTCAGTTATCAGGAGCAAACTGCACAGTCTAAAAAAATATTCGGTGGAAATGATGAATGTGTGTTCCGTGGCTTGCCATTCTGAGCAATGCAGTGAACTCCAGCGGAGGCCACTCCCTCCCTCCAGAAGCACAGTCATCCCTTTGCCCACATCTCTGCGCGGTACGCGTTACTCACCTGTTAGTCATCGGGAGGTCACCTGGGTTCTTGGACCAGCTGTCATGGTGTTATAGTACTTGTGTTCAAGTTACCCTGATTCTACTTCGTAATGACCCCAGAGTATGAGGTAGTGATGTTGGCAATTCACGAATGCCAGAGAGAAGTCAGAAAGTGCTTCCTTTAAGTGAAAAGGTGAAAGGATGCCATAGGTATGCATGCACAAGAGAAAACCGTGACAGTATCGGATCCAGCACTATGCGTGGTTTCAGGCGGCCACTCAGAGTCTTGGGAAATATCGCCCAGAGATAAAGGAGAAGGGGGAATGTAGTTTTGCATTCCTTGTGCTAACTTTTCCTGTTTTGAGAATTACTAAGAATTGGTGACTTTCCATAAAGTAGTTAACTGTAATCACCACCCTTTGTAAGGCTTATGTTTGGCTTGTTGGAGTCTCTAGCTTCATCTTCATTCTTTCAGTTCTATCCAAATGTCTTTTAGATGCTTTTGTTTCATAGAATTACACGGACAGATTCAGAGCATGTTGGAATCCACACTTGCCACTTGCGGTGTGACTTTGTTTTATTTTAATGTTGATTACTTAGGTGAGGGGTTGCAGACCCTTGTGGACTTCCGGTGAGGGAGGAGAGCGGCAGGATGTGGGGGAAGGTGGGGAAAACAAATGTTTCTGTCTTTTCTCCTTTTAGGATGGGGCGGGAGTGCAGGGTGAGTGCAATGATCCTTGCTGCCAAACTATGTCAGTACCCCAGGCAGAGAGGATCGTTTAATGTTACCTTGGAGACCCCAGTTTGGGAAGGAATGTTTCGAGGGTACTACTTCAGTGGTGGTGATTGTTCTAAGTTGTTCTTCATTACACCAGAAATATGGAATCCTTAAAGGTCTGCTCTCTGGTCATGTCTACCTCAGTGCATCCATCCACAGACTTAGGAGCTTGCTGCAAAGCCTGGCCGGGAATGTTGTCCAACATGTCCTGCTTGCCATCTTTTGATGAGATTCTTAAGCCGTCTTTTATCAGATGAGCTAGCTATCTTGTCTTTCCTGTGCATCTGAGTATGCACAGAAGTCAGCAACTGACGTAGCCCAGTCCTGTATCAGGTGCTCTGGGGTCAGACCACACATGCTGTGACTTTCCCTGTGGATGGGGTTCAAGCACAGTGGTCCAGCTGGGGAGCCCTCTAAGAAACCCTGTCTGAGAGGTCTTCAAACCTGGCTCTCATGTGCACCACTCAGTGCAGGGTCAGGTTCAGCCCGTCCCCTATACCAGTCAATACACATATCATAGGGTGCAGCTACCTGGCAGTCCCACCCCAGCCCTCTCATACTATGCCCCAGTCCAGCACAGCCCATTTCCAGGACCCACTGTGCTACAGCCTAGTGGAGCAACCCCAAAGAAGCCATACCTGACCAATGGGCTGACTTTCCCCCAGTCCTTTCACGGCTGCCTGTGGACGCTGTGGCTAACCTGGCCTGGCCCGCCCCCATCCCAGTTATGCACACCAGCAGGTGCTGTGGTCTGGTTAGGGCTACCCCCAAATAATCTCTATCTTGCTTACTCCCAAGTCCAATTCTCACATATGCTGGCAGGTGCTATGACCCAGCTGGCCCGGCCAGCCCTGGTCGGCCCCCAACTTTCTCAGCTGTGTCATTTAAAAAAAAAAAAAATTAGGATGTATTTATTTTTATATTGAAAAGGAAAAATCAGATATATAGCCAGAGCTGAGCTAATCCAAAGCCAGGAGCTTTTTTTCTAGTCTCTCTCACAAGTGCAAGGTCCCAAGTCTTTGGGCTGTCCTCGACTGCTTTCCCAGACCACAAGCAGGAAGGTGGATGGTAAGTAGAGCAGCTGGGACACGAATTGGTGCCCGTATGGGATCCTGGCACTTGCAAGATGAGGATTTAGCCGTTGAGCCGTCACTCCGGGCCCAGCTGTATGATCTTAAATAAGTCAGTTACCTCTGTGCTTTGTTGCTTAATCTTGTAAAAGAGGATGGTAGTGATACCTGCATTCAGGGTCCTTGAGAGCAGTGAATGAATTAACCCCTGGAAAGCACAACAGAATCTGGCCACGTAACAAGGAATCAATAAGAATGCTTGTTGCTGATACGCTTGTTTTTGTTTCTAGCACAACTGTGCCCAGACATGAAATAGCTGCTGTACAAAGACCTCTGGTTTGTTGTAATGGAAGATGGTGCTGAGGACCAGAGCGTTGTTAGGATGACGTCACGTGTGTTCTGGCGTTGGGCAGCTTGACCTCGCGTTGAGTCATTTCCGTGTCAGAGCTGGAAAGTTTCCCACGTTTCCTGAGGTCGTGAGGTCACACTGATGCCTCCTTCTCACACGCCCTGTGTCTTGTATTTACACGCAGTTACTCCGCACGGGTAGCATCATCCCATCTTTTGTTTTTATGGCTGCTTTGTTCCACTTGGATGATGTCCTCAAGGTTTAACCCTGTGCCCAAATTGCCTTTTTTTACAGCAGGATAGTGTTCTGTTTGTATGGAGGGAAATGCTGTGGGGCTTTTGAATTACCTTGAATCTAGATTGCTTTTTAAGCACTGTAGACCCTTTCATTGTATTAACTTCTAATCCGTCCTCATGGGATGGCTTTCTGTCTTTACCTCCTTCAGTTTTTGATCGGTGCTCAGCGTACCAGACTTTCACATCTTCATTTTTTTATCCTAAGTGTCTTATCCTTTCTAATGCTATTGTAAATGGAATTGTTTCCCAAACACCCTTTTTGGATTGTTTTTTATTAGTGTACAGCAGTGAAACTGAGTGTGTACTGATTTTATATCCCCTAACTTGGTAGAGTTCATTTATTCTATTGATTGTTGTAGCCCCGTCGCGTTTTCTATATGTAAGCTGTCATCTAGAAACAGAGCATTTCTCTTCCTTCTTTCCAATTTGGTTACCTTTTATTTCTTTTTCTTGGGCAATTTCCCCGACTGTCAATTCCTATTAAAGACCCAAATACAGGCATCCTTGTCTTGTTTCTGATCTTTCAGGAGAATTCAGTCTTCCCCACTGCGGGTGAAGGTAGCTGGAGTAGTCTCTGTAATGTTGATGTTTTTCTCCCGATCTGCACTTGAGCCTTAGGTTTTTAACTTGGACAGTCTGTCATTGCACTGGCTGTCTCATCAGTCACCTTTCTGTATCACTTAAATGAACCAGGTGAATGTTAGAGTCCATTTTTCAAACTACCCAGAAAGAAAAGTTTGATTTTGATAGCAGTTCAGTTGAGTTTAGGGGTCGAGTCAGGCTTCGCAGTGTTGCCGTGGGGTGAGCCTGCTGCTTGTTGTGCCCACATCCCGTGTCAGAGCACCAGTTCATAGCCCAACTACCCCGCTTTCCGTGCAGCTGCTTGTCAGTACGCCTGGCAGCAGGCGGTGGCTCAGGTCCTTTATTCCTGGGTCTGGCTTTGGCCTGGCCAAACCCCAGCTGCTGTGGCCACTTGGGAAGTGAACCAGCAGATGAGCAGCGCTCTCTCTCTCTCTCTCTCTCTCTCTCTCTCTCTCTCTCTCTTGCTCTCTTGCTCTCGCATGTGCTCGCTGTCACTCTTTCACATAAACCCTTTTTTTAAAAATTAGGCCAACTTGTCATCTTTGCATATATCTGATATTTTACTTGGCTTACAGTGACTCCTTGCTAGTGGAGCTGAGCCAGCTGCAGGGCTCAGGTCTCTGTGACCAAGTGGGAAGCTCTGAAATAGAACTCTCCATGCAGTGTGGTATTGAGGAAATGCTGAAGGACGTGGCTCCTTCCAAGGCAGATCCTACAGCATGTGTGTGTATATACACACACACACACACACACACACACGGAAATCAGTCAGAAGTAAGCATCAGCAGAAACAGTGAGAGATTTAGATCTCTAGGAAATCAGTACACTATGATAATCAAAGTTTGCAATGAAACAGTGAAGTGTGAAATGTTTAATGAAGTGAAAGATTGGATGTGAAGGCGATCTGGCCGCGACATTAGTCACCCCACTGGTCGCCAGGGTTGATTCGGCTGATCTGGCTGGCTAGGCGAGTGTCCCCTTCCTCCCTCAGTCTGTGTGCTTCCCTCCCAAAGCTGCATGCTCAGAGCGGGGACCTTCCCCACTAGAGGAGGACCAGACTTCAGGCAAGGGTATAGAACCTCCAAACAAACTCTCAAGAGATAAAACATGAAGTCACAGAAAGAGAAAGCAAAAAGTTTGCCACAGACCCTAATATCATAACCTTTAAAAATCCAAGTGCTTGTTTAAAAGTCAAAGCATCTCAGTAAGTAAAGTGAAAGTGATCCAGTATTTGAAGAAGTAATGATTGAGCATCTTCTAGAATTAAAGAAAATCCACAAATGCACAAACCACAGAATGTCCTGCAAAGATAAGTGCAAATCAAGCCACATCTAGAGAAATTGTGGGGTGGTGACAACAAAGAGATTTTATTTTATTTATTTATTTTTAAAGATTTATTTCTATTATTTTTTTGATTGGAAAGGCAGATATACAGAGAGGAGAGACAGAGAGGAAGATCTTCCATCCGATGATCCACTCCCCAAGTGAGCACAATGGCCGATACCATGCCGATCCGAAGCCAGGAGCCTCTTCCAGGTCTCCCACGCGGGTGCAGGGTCCCAAAGCCTTGGGCCATCCTCGACTGCTTTCCCAGGCCACAAGCAGGGAGCTGGAAGGGAAGCGGGGCTTCCGGGATAGAACCGGTGCCCATATGGGATCCCGGGCGTGCAAGGCGAGGACCTTAACCACTGCGCCACCTCGCCGGGCCCTATTTTATTTATTTTTTAAAGATTTATTTTTGATTGGAAAATCAGATATACAAAGAAAAAGAGAGACACAGAGGAAGATCTTCCATCCGATGGTGGTTCACTCCCCAAGTGGCCACAATGGCCAGAGCTGAACCAATCCAAAGCCAGGAGCCAGAAACTTCTTCCTGTCTCCCACGTGGGTGCAGGACGGCTCAAAGTCTTGGAACCCTGCACCCACGTGAGAGACCCGGAAGAAGCTTCTGGCTGCTGGCTTCAGGTTGGCTCAGCTCCGGCCATTGTGAGGATGAGCGATAGGACAGCTGACTCACCACAGGAGCACGTTCGGGAAAGGGTGAACGGAGTTAGCTGTCGGCGCTCAAGCAGCCTCACAGCTCCCTGTGACAAGCAAGCGTGATTAGGAGGCAAGGAGGGTATAACTAATGTCCAAAACACTATAAGGTTAAAAACCAAATGAATAAGTAAATGGGAAAAGCTCAGATTTTTAACAACTATGGGAGAGGGGGAGGAGGGTATGGATTGGAAAAAATGAATGAAACAGCTGAAACAAGGTAACACGGACAAGTCTAAGAAGTCATTAGTAACACTCGGTGCAGATGGACCTGATCGGCTGTTCAAAGGAAGATGACAGAACTACATTTTAAAATGTGAAAAATTAGGAATGATTTATATGAAAGATTTAAAACATAACCACAGAAAAATATAAGGGGAAAGAAAAGTACTTTAGGCAAAAACTAAATATTAGCTGAAGGGACTAGTGTTGTGGCCTACGGGTGAAACTGCCACCTGTGAAGTTGGATCCTGTATGGGTGCTGGTTCATGTCCCAGCTGCTCCACTTCCCATCTTCCCATCCAGCTCCCTATTCCTGGCCTGGAAAAAGCAGCAGCCAATGGCTCCAGTGTTTAGGTCCCTTCCACCCACATGAAAGACCAGGAGGAAGCTCCTGGCTCCTGCCAGGTACAGCACTGGCTGTTGTAGCCATCGGAGGAATGAACTAGCAAATGGAAGATCTCTCTGCAATTCTGACTTTCCAAAAAATAAATGCTTTAAAAATGAAAAGGCTGAGATAACAAAATAGTCAATAAAAGAATGTTAGCGATAGAGAAATCTTCATGATAATCAAATATTCTGTAATAAGTCCTTTTTTTTCTTATTTTTTCTGATTTATTATTTGCAAGGCCAAGTTACAGGGTTGGGGGAGGGTGGAACAGAGAGATCTTCCATCCACTGGTTCACTCCCCAAATGGCTGGAGCAGCCAGAAGCTAAACCCATTCCAAGATGTCGGCCCCCGTCACCCTGGATCTGCACAGACTCAGCTGCTCTGTCACAGAGCCAGAGTCCCTGCTGAAGTCTTTACAGCAAGCCGGGAAGGGCAGCTTTGGCCGTGGTGCCTGAGAACGCCAAGGCTGGGGAGGAGGGGTCGCGAGAGGCCGTGAGACTGGAGCACCCGAAGCAGTGACACCAGATAAAAACTTCCACCCCACTCACATACGTTGTCATTTCTCAATGTTCCGGTAGCCCTGACAAGACCATCATTTTTTGGGTTTTTTTTTTGTTTTGTTTTTCTTTCTACAGACCCATCCCCCTTTATTCTGTTGTTGTGATAAACAGCCGAATTGATAAAATTGAAGGGAGGAAATATTTCGTTTCCTGTGATATTCGGAGTGTTGACAACAAGACCCTCTACACAGAAGCGACACGTAAGAAGCCGCCGCGACCTCTCTGTTGGGGTTGGGGTTGGGTTTGGCGAGGGCTTTGTATTTGGTTTAGAGCTTTTTATTTCAGTTTGGTTTGATTTATAACCTACGTGTGCCCAGAAATTGCCAATTCCGTGTCGCACAAATTAAACCTATTTTTTTGTGCAAGGGTGCTTCAGAAAGTTCCTGAATAAATGATGTTTTTAAAATAAGCTTATTTTCGGGCAAAAAATATTTGAAACTATACATAGTTTTTTCATGAACTTTTTGAAGACCTCTCATATATTGCTGGCAAATGTTTACCGGACAGTGTCTGATAAAATTGCAAAATTATATATCCATTAGTCCATTTCCAGGACCTTACGCTATAGGACCATTAACAGGTACAGAATTACAGTGTATTAAATTCCTATAGCATTCCAGTAATGTGTATTGCAGTATTGTTTGCAATAGCAAAAGATTGACAAAATACAGATATTCATCAGTAAGAGACTGGTTAACGAACACCATCTAGGCATACACTGGGTGGGGCATGATGTCATGAACAATACACTGGGTGGGGTATGATGTCATGAACATTACACTGGGTGGGGTAAGATGTCATGAACAATACACCAGGTGGGGTATGATGTCATAAGCAGTGTTGTGGTGCCATGAGTAAGAACAGGGAACCTTGATGTGAAAGTCTCTCATTAAGATGGGAATGAAATACAGGATGCAAGACTATTATCACTGCTGTAGAAAAAGGTCACCCTGTTCTCTTCCCATCACCTTCCTCTTTTCCTTCATCCTTGATTTCTTCCTGCCTAATTATTTCGAAAAGCCATTATGTGGAAGAACTGAGTGAGGTGGGCCCAGGAGTGAGCAGAGTGACTCGGCGCTCAGAGCCCGAGTACCGTGAGGAAGGCGATCACACGGGGAAGTGGCCGGTCGCAGGGCATCCCACAGAAAGCGGCCCGGGTGAGGAGCCCTCAGAGATTGAGGGTGAAGTATCCTGGGGCTGGCAGAAGTGACAGCCCACGGATTAACACTGTTAGAAGAGAGGAGTCATAGGAGTGGGGAGGGGGAATAGAATGAATTGATATTAAGTGAGAACTGGATACCTTGGACATACATGTTTTGTTCAAGGTTTATTCATTTGAAAGCCAGAGTTGGGCCTTGCACATGCCGGGATCCCGTATGGGCACCAGTTCTAATCCCAGCGGCCCCACTTCCCATCCAGCTCCCTGCTTGTAGCCTGGGAAAGCAGTCGAGGATGGCCCAAAGTCTTGGGACTCTGCACCCGCGTGGGAGACCCGGAAGAGCTCCAGGCTCCTGGTTTTGGATCAGCAGAGCTCTGGCCTTTGCAGCAGCTTGGGGAGTGAATCATTGGATAGAAGATCTTCCTCTCTGTCTCTCCTCCTCCCTGTATCTATGACTTTCCAATAAAAATAAATAAATCTTTTAATTTTTTTTTTTTAAATCATAGTCCTGGATCAGAAGTAGAGGTGTGACACGAACCAGGGCCAAGTGGGATGCAGACTGTAGATTAACCCTGCAAGCCTCAATGCTGGCCCCTAGATTCATCATAATCCTAAAATAGGACATGCAGTCACTGTACACAGCCAATGATATGTATTTGTTCAGTTATATGCTTGTTTTAAGAGACAGAGAGACAGATGCGGCTTCCATCCACTGGTTAACTCCCCAAATGCTACCTTATGTGAGCTAGGCCAGGCTGAAGCCAGGAGCCAGGAACTTAATCCAGGTCCCCCACAAGGGTGAAAGGGATCCAGCTATCTTTTTTTATTGTTTATTTAATTATTTGGAAGTCTGGGTTATGAAGAGAGAAGGAAAGCAAGAGAAATCTTCCATCTGCCAGTTCACTCACCAGGTAGCTACAGTGGCCAAGACTGGGCTGGGCTGGCCAAAGCCAGGAGCCAGGAGCCTCACCCAGGGTAGCAAAGGCCCAGACATTGGCCCCATTGCTCTGCTTTCTCCAGGCTGTTAGCAGGGAGCTAGATAGGAAGTGGAGCAGCTGGAACACTAACCAGTGCCCGTATGCCAGAATCACAAGCAGCAGCCTTACCCACTACACCACAACACCAACCCGCCAAGACTGAACTACTTGAGCCATTATTTCCACCTGCCAGGATTTGCATGATCAAGAAGTTTCAGTCAAAAGCCAAAGCCAGGAATTGAACCCAGGCACTCCGATGTAAGATGAGGTACCCACCTATCTCACCATTGAATGATGGCTCTAGTATGTTTGCCTTTACAATTCTGTAACAGGCAAATGCTCTGGGGCCTACCATCAAATTAAAAACTCAAGAATCTTAACTGTATTTTATCCCTGCCTAATTATGATTTCCATCCAAGCTATCTGCTTAGAAGTAGCTGTGACCTAGGATTTTGTGAAGAGACTTTTTAGATTTATTTATTTGAAAAAGCAGAGTGATGGAGGAGACACGGAAATGAGTAGTGTATTCCTTGTGAATTTGTCAAGGCCAAAAATTGGAAAGAAAAAGATACAAAAGAATGAAAAAATGAAAAACAGGTGACAGCGTTGTGATGCTGTGAGTTAAGCTACCACTCGGGACACTGGCATCCCTCGCTGAAGTGTCTCATCCAATCCGGCTTCCTGCTGGAAGAGCAGGTGTCCCAGCCCTGGGGCCCTGCTGTCCTAATGGGAGACCTGGAGGAGGTTCAGGCTTCCAGTTCTGGCCTGCCCCGCCCCGGCCATTTGGAAAGGGAGGCAGCAAAGACCTGTCTGAGTAACTCTGCCTTTCCAAAAAATCTGTCTTTTAAAATGGATAAGCATAGTAGCATTTATTTAAATTATTCCCTTTTGGGGTGATTTTTTGTTTTGTTTTGTTTTGTTTTTGAGAAATTCACTTTCCCCCTGAATAACAGTGGTTTGCAGGAATGAATAGAAGGAACAAGAAGGAGAGCGTGAATAAGTGAGTCCATAGCCAGTACACTGCATTTCTGACTATAGTTGTTTTAATCCCAGTCTCGCTGAACATTTCAGTATCGCACAGGCACCAGATGGTTCGGGTGTGAGTCAGCTTGGAGGTGGTCATGAACCATGACGTAGACAAGTAGCTGAGGGTCTGGTTCCCCAGTCCTGGTGCTCCTCCCGCAGTGAAGGTAGTACTGTGCTGTGATAGTCAGACATTAATTCTTAATTTGGCTGAAAATAAGAGCGGGCAGATAAACAGAAGGTACAAATTGAATGTTTCAAAAACCCATTTTGTGTGTTTGGAATCATCCCACCAGATGGAAGCCGGCTGCCTTACACTCATCTCCTGTTTTGTATTTTAGTCTTATTCGTAAAACCTGATCCCAACAAAAGTTCAAAATGAACCTGGCGATATCCACACCACGTCGGGCCCTCCCAGTTCCTGATGAAGCCACACTGCTGACTCCGGACCAGGACGCCAGGGGCTCACCTCCCACCTTCCGAACTCGTAACCCAGACTCCTGAGATGTATGTGAGCCCCTCGGAGTTGTGCCCCGCTGCAGACAGAAGACAAGACTTGTGTTGAAACTTTTACTGAAAATGTAGAAATGGTAGAAAATGAAGCAAAGGAATGGACACATGGGGCGTGGGGAGATGCGCACGCATGCATGGGTGCCCGTTGAGAGCCTCGAAGCTAGCTGTGCTGTATCTGAACAAACACATCTTTTTTGGCCAGAGTAGGAAACTTCCTGTACTTGTTCCTATAGGGATGAATACCTCAACGCTGTCATCTGGGTTTCTAAGAAATAAACACTGCCATTGTTAACAGGCTGTGCCATCGTAGCTTGCTACCCTCGTCGTGTTTCATCACTGCAAGAGCTCTGTATCCAGGTCCACACCCAGGATGGCTTCAGCCAGAGAAAACTGAATGTCCACAGTTGTGGAGGTCAGAAACTTGAAATCAAGCTATGAATAAGGTCATGTCCTAGTTCATTCTCCCCTGTCTCTCACAGCCCCAGGCATGCCTTGGTTTATAGACAATGCCGCTGCAAGCTTCCATCTTCTCTTTGGCATTTTGTGCGGCTCCACCTCGTCTTTTCCCTGTGTGTATCTGTCTCTGTGTCCAAATTTTCCCCTACTTACATTTTAGCTTGATTACCTCTGCAAAGACCCTGTTTCCAGGTAAGGTCCCCTTATGAGACCCTGAGATCAAGGCTTTATCTACAAGGGAGCCTCCAACAAAACTAAAAGTTGGGAGATGAATGTTCTGGAAGGCATTGTACTCACTAATATAAGCCATAGATTCTCTAGGTTTTGTTTTCTTGTCTTTCTTTCCTTCCCCTGATGAAAGGCTGGGCTGAACCAGTTTTGAAGGGCTGGATAACTAGACAGTTTCCTGTTTGGGCCTAACCGCTTAGGGCCAGCCTCTGACACCTTACTAGGCTTCCTCCCACAGGCAAAAGATCAGAAGCAGGATTCCACGGCCAGAGCCAACCTTCCCTGGAATGACCAAGTCCTGGAAAGGCCATCTCTAGCGCCCCCTGCAGCTCCCAAGGGACCAGAAAAAGGTGCAGCTGATGGGAGTGGGAGAAATGCTGTGGAGTGAAGATGGCACCTCCTTCTCCCTAGGAACTCTGCTGGAGCTGTTAGAGTATTGGTATAATGTTACTATGCTAAAATGTTAAGAATATTAGTGTTAGGTGATATTAGGCCCTTTTGGGTGAGAAGCCACTACTTCGCTAGGTCAGAAGGCGCCTGAACTGTGGGAAAGCTCCACTTCAGTGGTAAATCTGTCTCCCTTGTTTCTTTATCTACCATCTAACCCAGGTGCAGGAAGGCAGGGGCACAGTTCCCTGACCCCAGGGACGGGAGGAGCCATAAAGACAAGGGTGTCAGGATGGGATGAGCCGTAAATAATAAGTGTGGGAATGCAAACAATAAGTGTGGGAACATAAATAATGAGTGTGAGAATGGAACAGATTGCTTGCACCTAAATTTGTTACTTTTGAGTTGACTTTGATATATGTTACAGCCAAGACGGGGTATATAATCTCCAGCCTTATGTTAAGTCGGGGTCCGATCCACTTGGCTGGCTTGTGTGCCCCAAGTACGATCTGACCCCACCATGCTGGCACAATAAACTCTGTTTGCTTTTTGCATTACCAGCAAGACTCTTTGTCGTTTTCTGGGGGTTGACTAGCTTGTACCCTAATGTCCGGGCTTGGAGCTCTGGCCGGACTCTAACAGAGCCTGGAGAAGCTGCCCAGCAGGTGACTGGACTGTCATGACTGGCATTAACCACCCTTTGATCCATGTCCCTCCCAGATTGTCCTGAAGCTCCAGAGCCAGCAAGTTCAGCCGGCCATGGTAAGAAATAGGAACTGAAGCAATGAGGCAGCAGTGCTGTTTGGTTTATAGAAAAAGCAGCTCAGGCAGTGAGGGAACTCACCCCTCCCTGTTTGCTTTGCCCTCCCAGTGGGCTCTAGCACAGCAACCTCACCCAGTTCAGAGAACCTAACCGAAAAAATGCCAAGTGAGGCGCCCGGCGCATTGGCATAGTGGTTAAAGTCCTTGCCATACACATGCCAGGATCCCATATGGGCGCCAGTTTTTTTTTTTAAGATTTATTTTTATTATTTTTTTTATTGGAAAGGCGGATATACAGAGAGGAGAGACAGAGAGGAAGATCTTCCATCCAATGATTCACTCCCCAAGTGAGCGCAACGACTGATGCTATGCCGATCCGAAGCCAGGAGCCTCTTCCGGGTCTCCCACGCGGGTGCAGGGTCCCAAAGCTTTGGGCCGTCCTTGGCTGCCTTCCCGGGCCACAAGCAGGGAGCTGGAAGGGAAGCGGGGCTGCCGGAATAGAACCGGCGCCCATATGGGATCCTGGGCGTGCAAGGCGAGGACCTGAACCACTGCGCCACCGTGCCGGGCCCTCAAAATAAATAAATCTTTTAAAAAATGCCAAACAACCAGTTTTTCTCCTTCCCACTAAGTATGCTTGGACCTCCTTTCCCGTGTCTTTCCCTTTTCTACCTACTTTTACAGTTTCAAGTCTCACACAGGTTTGCTCTCGACCAGCGGACATGGCTGCACGTGTGAAGCAAACAGCCCACGATCGGCTAGGAGAGAAGCCTCGCCGCTCTTAACAGTCTCACCATCATTTGAGAGGAAGTAGTGGTTGGTTTGTATTTGGACAAATACATGGGGGCTGAAAATTAAAAGGCAAGCAGGTGGAATCGGACGTGGGGACCCAACGGGCCTGTGCCTTCCTCCTGTGTGCCCCTCTTCACGCTGCTTGGGAAGCAGTATTTTGAATGAAGATTGTTGAGTTTCAGGTCAGTGTTGATGTAGCTTTGAGCTGCCAATGCAAACAACTCAGCAGTGAGTTTGCACTCGTCCCAGGTTTCTAAGAACCTCGGAAGCGCATCGACAGCAGTCGTGCTCAGAAACACGTTGTTGGAAGAACTGAAGATTTTCTCTAAAGGAAAGGTGGAATGAAACATGAGGAAGTCAAGTAAACCACTCACCGTGTATTGAGGAAGCTCATGCCTCTGTTCCTGCTTCCTCCACCCCCCATCACCTTCTGAAGACCCCTGACCTTCCCTCCCGGGAATCTTAAGCCCAAGTTACTCTTCTACTTAATAACAGCATCATAGAACCCTAGGCAAGCATAGCCTCATTTGTGTGTGTGTGTCAGAGCGTTGTTTGGTTTGCTTGAAAGGTAAGCAATGCCCTAGCAGCTAAATCCTCGCCTTGAACACACCGGGATCCCATAAGAGTGCCAGTTCTAATCCCGGCAGCCCCGCTTCCCATCCAGCTCCCTGCTTGTGGCCTGGGAAAGCAGATGGCCCAAAGCCTTGGGACCCTGCACCCGTGTGGGAGACTCAGAAGAAGCTCCTGGTTCCTGGCTTCGGATTGGCTCAGCTCCGGCCATTGCGGCCACTTAGGGAGTGAATCATCAGATGGAAGATCTTCCCCTCTGTTTCTCCTCTATATATCTGACTTTGCAACAAAAAAAAAATCTTTAAAAAAAGGTAGAGAATGGAGAGAATCCATCTACTGATTCATTTCCCAGTAGCCAAAAGAGTTTGGGCTCAGTCAGATTGAAATCAGGAACCTTATACTCCAGCTGATCTCCCATGTGGGTACAGGGGCCCAAGGACTTGGTATGGCTTCTGCTTTCCCATGTGTGTTAGCAGGGAGCCGGACATGAACAAAAACATCCGGAATTTGAACGAGCATTCAAATATAGGTTGCTGGTATCCTAGGCAGAAGCTTAACCTGCTGTATCAACACAGGGTCCTCCCTCCCATAACTTTTTCAGGGGCTAGCATGGCATACACAGCAAGCAAAACTACTGCCTGCAATGCTTGCATTTCATGTGAGCACCAGTTTGAGTCCCAACTACTCCACGTCCACTCCAGCTTCCTATTCATGAGCTCAAATAATTGGGCCTCCGCCAGCCCTCAAAGTGAAGCTCCTGACTGTGAGCTGACTTAACCCTGGCCATATGGCCTTAAGTAAATTCTTTTTAAAGATTTTTTTTATTTTTATAGTAAAGTCAGAAATACAGAGAGGAGGAAAGACAGGAAGATCTTCCGTCCACTGATTCACTCCCTAAGTGGCCACAACAGCCAGAGCTGAGTGGATCTGAAGCCAGGAGCCTGGAGCTTCTTCCAGGTCTCCCATGCGGGTGCAGGGTCCCAAGGCTTTGGGCCATCCTCAACTGCTTTCCCAGAACACAGGCAGGGAGCTGGATGGGAAGTGTGGCCACCAGGATTAGAACTGACACCCATATGGGATCCTGGCGCATTTAAGGCAAGGACTTTAGCCACTAGGCTACCACTCCAAGCCCAAACTTTTTCATCTAAATTATTTATTTGAAAGGCAGAGTTACAGAGAAGAGGAAAAAGATCCTCTATTCACTGGTTCACTCCCCAAATGGCTGCAACAGTAAGGACTGGGCTAGATGAAAGCCAAGATCCGAGAGCTTCTGGGTCTCCCGTGTGTGCAGGGGACCAAGCACTTGGGCCGTCTTCCACTGCTTTCTCAGGTGCGTTAGAAGGGAGCTGGCTCAGGAAAGCAGCATCTGGGACTCACTAGTTCCCATATGGGATGTCAGGTTCATAGGCAGAGACCAACTTGCTGTGCCACTACACTGGCACCAATAAATACATCTCTTAAAAATTCTGTGATAGAGGGGCTGGCGCTGCGGCTCAGCAAGCTGGCCTTCTACCTTCATACTCTGGAGACCCATGCAGGAACCAGTTTGTGTCCCAGCTGTTCCCATCCAGTCCCGTGCTCGTGGCCTGGGTAGGCAGTGGAGGATGGACCAAGTGCTTGGGACCCTGCACCCATGTGGGAGACCTGGAGGAGACTCCTGGCTTCAGATCAGCTCAGCTCTGGCCTTGCAGCCATTTGGGAAGTGAACTGTCAGATGGAGGATATTTTTCTGACTTTCACTCTGTAAATCTACCTCTCAAGTAAAAATAAATCTTAAAACAGGAAATAAAAATTATTTTTTATTGAAAAAGTGTTATTGTACAACATTTTGGCTATTAACCAAAAAGTAGAAGTATAATATTTGCCAATATTTAAAAATCATGTCCAAATACAAATGAGTTTGAAAGTTAAGAATTAATAAGCAAGCAGGTGATTTCTTTCCACTAATTAACCAAGACTGCAACAACCTTTGAAGCAACAGTCTGTGAATTGTACATAATGAAATCTACAAAACAGACTACTGGTAGGGGAGACAAGATGTACGTTAGAAAATTCATAAATATACATTTATTCAGGAAATACAATTACTAAAGTCCTTGATATTTCAATCGTCATTCCACATAAAATATGCACAACATGTATTCTTTTTTTTTTTAAATTGTTAATAACATTGTATTATGTGGTACAGTTTTATAGGCACTGGGATTCCCCCCACCCTTCCCATAACCCTCCCCCCATGGTAGATTCCTCCCCCTTGCTGCATAACCACAGTTTAAGTTCAGTTGAGATTCCTTCATTGCAAGCATATGCCTAGCATAGAGTCCAGCATCCTATTGTCCAGATAAGTTCAGTGGCTTCTTGGGGAGACCTTCTCTGGTCTGAAGGTAGAGCTAACAGAGTAAAGTCCCAGTCAGTTAAAAGCCCCAACAAAGCATCAGCAACAATATACAGTGTTATGGAATTAATTGACATAGTATTGAGTAAACAATATGTTAAAAATAATGCAAGTTCAATTTTTCAAAACACATGGGTTGAGACAGTATCAATGACAGGTTCAAACACAAACAAACAAAAAAAGAAAAATTATAGGTTAAATGAAGGCAAACATGTGGTATCTAACCTTTTGGGATTCGCTCATTTCCCTTAGCATTATAGTTTCCAGTTGGGCCCATTTAGCCACAAAGAACTGCATTTTGTTTTTCACAACATGTATTCTTTAAGTCTATACCAAGCCATGCTGACATTCCCTTCAGTTAAGCCATAACCATTTCTTTTATTAAGTGCTGTAATATCCATTTTAATTGTAAACACTGTATCGGAGCCAAACTACTTGACCAGAAAAATTTTAGAAATTTAGAATTTTTTTTTTTAAATAAAACACATATGAAGCACCCAAACCTATAGACCGAGGCCACTATAATCTAGTTTAATGCTAATGGTTAAGTGGCCTTATTAACAAAATAATTACCATTGAAATTTCTCATCTGCAATGTTTAAGCATGGTTTTTCAAATAAACACTTATTTTTCTAAGCTTTAAAGGTAATGGGGGCAGAAAGATGACATATTAAGTTTACATTTCAACTACTCACAATTTTACAAGAGTAGAATGTAATTACATTCCAAATAAAAGAACGCCAAGCTATCTAATGCCTAAGGAAAGCCATCAATCATTAAATAGCTGCAAGCTGAATTGTTCCACGGATACTTCCAGACATAACCTAGTGTACTTAGATCATCTTATAATCTGAGACCTACTGGTTTTCAGCTCTGGTTGTCCACCGGAACCATCAAAGAAGCTTTAAAGACGATCAGTGGTATAAGTGGTTCTGACTCGTTAGCACTGTTTGACTGGACAGTGATTGATATTCCTGAAGCCCAGCAGGGCGCTCTGCTGTGCAGCCACAGTCAGGAACCACTCAGTCAACCGTTGTGAAAGAACAATAAAAAACAGATGGAAATTGGAAAAGGGGGTAATTTATAAATCAAATACCTATAGTATACTAGGTTTTCTTCATGAACCATCCTTTTGTAAGATGAAAATTCCCAGGCCCAGCACAGTCGCCTAGCGGCTAAAGTCCTCGCCTTGAACCAGCCTGGATCCCATATGGGCACCAGTTCTAATCCCGGCAGCTCCACTTCCCATCCAGCTCCCTGCCTGTGGCCTGGGAAAGCAATCGAGGACGGCCCAAAGCTTTGGGACCCGTGTGGGAGACCAGGAAGAAGTTCCTGGCTCCTGGCTTCGGATCGGCATAGCATCAGTCGTTGCGCTCACTTGGGGAGTGAATCAGTGGACGGAAGATCTTCCTCTCTGTCTCTCCTCCTCTCTGTATATCTGACTTTGAAATAAAAATAAATAAATCTTTAAAAAAAAAAAAAGAAAATTCCCTTCATTTCCTTTCTGTGCTAGGCTAATGCTCTACCTTTTTGCCACCGAAGGATTGACTTTTCTGTGATCAAGATTTAAAATTCTGGGAGCCATTATGAAAACTCCATTAATGAAAGCAAGCTACTTCTATTCATGCTCTACAGGAGCAAGCAAGACTGCTGTATTTGGCTCCTTGAAACTGTCCTTATTTTAGGAAATATAAACAGTGCCAACCCGCACAAGAACAGATTGTGGATTATTGTAGAAAAAAAAATAGCTTATTCAACTTACTAAGTTTCAACACCAAAAAAGATTTAATTTGGCTAAAGTTCTGAAAACAGCTGAGACACCGAACCAGGAAGCTGTCATTTATAATGAGATGGTGATACATTCTTAAAAGCTACTGCAGCTGTAGTTACATTAAAATAAGAATTCTTCAGGGTTTACTTACCCTGCCATGCAAGAATGCGAGCATAACAATATTGTTATTGTTTTCATATGCACCAATACCTCTGTTTAATATATAAAGTTCTACAATGAATAACTTTACAATTAAATTAAGTCCATAATTCTTCTATACTACTTTGGTCTCAACATTTTTAAAAACATCAGTTTTGATAATATACAATTTAAGAACATGATCCTATCCATAACAAGCATTTTGTAGTGGACTAACGACACATTCAACCATGCAATCCAGTGTTCAATACCTAAATGATAAATAACAATGCTGATCTGACTTATTCTGAAATATCACTGAACCCTAGCATAATCCTGTAGGAATCGCAGCGCTCACAAACATACAAAGGCGTAGATTTGTAGTCTTCCTGAAGGAATGTCACAAAATGCCCACTTTTTTTTTACAGGTCAATAATGATGTCACACCCCTCATGTATTTAGAACCTGTATCTCTTTTTGTCCACATCATTTGCAATATTTTAAAAAATAGAATCTTGCTATAAGCTGTAACTGAAAACACATTGATCTCAGGCGTCACCATACACCAATAGCTGCCGTTCAGTAAAACAGCGACATCCAGTGGACAAATGCAATAAAGCATCTTAAACTTCCCATCACTATATTTGACCGTAAACAAAGACTGCATTTCTAAATCCAGCCGTTTTAATATGTATAGTTCCTATTTACCTTGGCATAGCTAGATTCTTAGGAAAACACTACATCATATCTATGTATCTTTACTATATCCTTCTCTTCTTCCTATTGAAAATCAATTCTTGCAATTGAACTAGTAAGAATGTACAACTCTTGAGAGAGTGTAAGTATTACTTTTTTTCTTTGCTTTTGCCATTTCCAACCACAAACTAACTAGCTCATCTCTAGGAATAGAAGGAACAAAATAAAAGAAATATATTTAAATAAAAATCAATAGCACAAAAAACTTGCAAAAGAAATCTAACTGTTTGCATTTACAATTTTATATATTGGCTATAAAGGGACGTAATCAGTAATGTTAGCAATCAAATTACATCCTGCTCAAATATTAAGACTACATATTTCATCAATGATTGTTTCAGTTTAAAAAAACGTGTATAAATCAGTATATATGACTATTCATTATATATTATGCTTAAATAAAAGCAAAAACTCCCACTGTGCCGAGCTGATTCACCACTGAGTACATAGGTGTTCAAAACACAAAATGCAGCAGTGATATTAACACTGACGATCTAACGAATTGCTAAAATGAGACAATTCTGTTTCATTTATTGGAAAATTGTAAAGAAATTTTACAGATTAAAAAAAAACAAAGTAAGTGAAAAAAGAATTGGAGAACTGTTATTTTCAAATAATTAGCCAAATAAAGAAAACATTTTTTCCTAAAAAAAGATTAAGCATGTCAAAGTACATTTTAATATTAAAAAGCATTTTTAAAAATCTATAACAATTTTATGACAAAGTCTGCATTTGAAAAAGGCCTGTAAAAACTGCAGGACAGAACTGCCCTCATCACCTTTTACTTTTTCTCATCAGAAAAGTGCATGCCTCTCTGGAACCATAAATAAATGTTAAAATAGGCATTTATAAAATTGCAAGAAGGATCTCAAGGGAAGTTTGTTTCTACAGTCTTAGCACTGCGGCCCTCGGTAGGTCACAGGAAAAACCTCCAGCTGCAAAAAGACACCGGGATACGAACCTTGAGCTGTATCAGGTCTGTTGCTTGCGTTTTGCGGATCACATTTTTTCAAATCGTGACTCCATTTCTTCTAGAACTGTGGGTGTGTATCGGACCACTAAGCTGACCTCTCCTTGAGCTGCTTTCAGGAGTTCTACAGCTTTTTCATGGTGTTCTCCTTCAACTCTCACTCCATTCACAGAAAGGAGTTGATCTCCTCGCTTGAGGCCTCCATGTCTATCAGCAATTCCACCTGGAATTATTCGAGATCTATAGATTGGAGAGTTTTGTTCTTTGCCTCCCATGATATTGAGTCCAAGGCCCGCTTCTGGTTTTGGTAGCTCAACAACTCGAGGATGAGGGTGCTGTTCACCGGCAGCAAATGCAGCGGCCTTGGCGGTTGCACTCGCTCTTGGGCAGGGCTGCTGGTGTCCACAGTCCCAGACGTGCACTTCTCTCACAGCGTCGCACAATTCACTTTGCAGCACTCTCTGCAAAGCCTGGAGTCTCTGTGGTGGGACCTCTCCACTTCTCTGTAATTTTTCCAGCAATTCAATTGCTCTACAAATATCCCGTTCCAGCCGTGCAGGTTCTCCCAGAGCCGCCATCTTCTCTAAGCCTGCGGACCCACAGGAAATCGGAAATAAAAATTCTATCAGAGACAACAGAAAACTAAATCACTGAAAATAAATCACAGATTTTAAGTCTCAGGCTTAAAACTTTTTAAATCTTTTCTTCTTCTATTTATTTTGAATTTTATGATACAATTCCATAGGTTCTGAGATTTCCCTATCCTCTCGCATAATTCCCCACCCCACTAATGTCCCATCGTATTATTATAATAGTACAGTCCTTCATAAGCAGTCATAAGTCCATCAGTCGGCTTTTTATTTATGTGTGTCCTGACATTGCTGGTACAGACAATGCCGGATAGCCCCAGGTCCTATTGTCAATATGTGTCCAATAGTTTCATTGGGAGTCCAACTTTGATTTGGACGCGGAGATGGATTCTGCATCGTATCTTCACATCTGGATATGATAGTCTCTTATTACACAGTTACTATACATTCCCTTAAATGAAAAGCCATAAAGCAAAATCAACAACAGGAATAAAATTTTTAAAATAATTTTACAACACCATGGAGTTAAATAACATGCTACTGAATAACCAATGTGTTGATGAAGAAATGAAAAAGAAAACAAAAAAAAAAGCCTTCTTGGAGGAAATGATGCTACTGTATGATCTATGAGTCAATGAAGAATTTGGTAAAACTATTTTGAAGAAATAAAAAAAAAAGATCAAATTCTGTGAGTTGCAGCAAAAAAGAGTGTTGAAAGGGCTGTTAATCTCATCATTTACATGAAGGTTGCTATTATCAGAGAGAACATATGTTATCTGTCCTTTTAGGGTTAACTTATTTGGGTATAACGATCTCTAGTCGGGACCTTCTAGTTGCAAATGGCAGGATTTCATTCTTTTTAATGGCTGAGTAATATACTGTGGAGTAGATGTACCACAGTTTCTTTATCCACGCCTTTTTTGAAGCTTCCATGTGTTTGCTATTATAGATTGTGCTGCTGCTGTAAATACAGGATTACAGATCCCTTTCTCATGTGCAGATTTCATTTCCTTTGGATATATTCCTAGGAGCACGGTAGCTGGGTCATCCTGCAGGTTGATTAGCAGGGCTCTAAGCATTCTCCATGCTGACCTCCACAGCGGTTGTACTAGCGAGCAGTGAAGGAGGGTACCTTTCTCCTCACATCCATGCCAGCAGGTGTTACTAGTATAGTTCTGAATGTGGACCAATCTCACTGGGGTTAGGTGGAATCTCAATGTGGTTTCCACCACTTCACACTAAAAACTTTAAGCAAGATAGGCATAGAAGGAACATTCTCTAACACAAACAAAGCAATATACAAAAAGCCCAATGCCAGCATCAAAATAAGTGAGGAAAGACTGGAAGCTTTTCCATTAAGATCTGGAACTAAACAAGGATGTCCACTCTCACCATTGCTATTCAATATAGTATTGGAAGTCCTTACCAGAGCTATCAGGCAAGAAAAAGAGACTAAGGAATTCAAATCAGAAATGAGGAACTGAAATTATCCTTGTTAGCAGATGACATGATTATCTACTTAGGAGAATCAAAAGACTCAGTCAAGAGACTCCTGGAACTCTAAGAGACTTTAGCAGGGTAGCATGATACAAAATTAATGAATGCAAATTGATGGCGCTAGTATACACAAATGACTCCATGGCCAAGAAAGAAACTGTGAATAGAATCCCATTTAAAATAGTGGAGAGGAATCTTAAATACCTAGGAATTAGGCCCAGTGCAATAGCCTAGTGGCTAAACTCACTTTGCACATGCTGGGATCCCTTATGGGCACCAGTTCATTTAGCTCCACTTCCCACACAGCTCCCTGCTTGTGGCCTGGGAAATCAGTCAAAAAGCCCAAAGCCTTGGGACTCTGCACCTGCGTGGGAGACCCAGAAGCTCCTGGCTCCTGGCTCCTGGCTTCACATCGGCTCAGCTCTGGCCATTGCAGCCACTTAGGGAGTGAATCAGCAGATGGGAGATCTTCCTCTCTATCTCTTCTCCTCTATATATCTGACTTTACAATAATAAATACATAAATCTTTTCAAAAAAACTAGAAATTAACATAACCAGATATGTGGAAAACCTCAGTGATGAAGACTGTAGAACATTTTAAAAAATAGAAGACATTAAAATATGGAGAAAATTACCATGTTTCTGGAGTAGCAGGATCAGCATCATCAAAATGTCCAGATTACTGAAAGTAATATACAAATTAAATGCAATCCCAATCAAAGTCCCAACAACTTTCTTCTAAAAAGATACAAAAGTTCATCTGGAAACACAAGAGACCACAAATAGCCAAAGCCATCTTGATGCATAAAAATATCAAGCTGGAGCAATCACAATTCCAGACCTCAAGATATACTACAGAGCAGTGGCCATCTAAACAGTCTGGTACAGAAACAGAAGAAGGTCAAACAGAAATACCAGAAGGGAGCCCATCCATATATAGCAAACTAGTCTTTGACAAGAAAAATGAAAACAAGGGGCCCAGTGCGATAGCATGGTGGTTAAAGTCCTCACCTTGCACACCCAGGATCCCATATGGGCATTGGTTCTAATCCCAGCAGCCCCACTTCACATCCAGTTCCCTGCTTGTGGCCTGGAAAAGCAGTCAAGAATGACCCAAAGCCTTGGGACCCTGCGTCTGCATGGGAGAGCTGGAGGAAGCTCCTGGCTCCTGGCTTTGGATTGGCTCAGCTCCAGCCATTGCAGCCACTTGGGGAGTGAATTATCGGACAGACAAAATCTTTAAAAAAAAAAAACATACAAGCCCCACCAGGGCATTGATAACACCAAGACGCTGTTCTGGTCCACCACAGGAAGAGACTTGGCGGGGGGAAAAAAATGGAAACAGGGCCTGGCATGGTGATCTAGCAGCTAAGGTCCTCACCTTGAACACCCCGGGATCCCATATGGGCGCCGGTTCTAATCCTGGAAGCTCTACTTCCCATCCAGTTCCCTGCAGGTGGCCTGGGAAAGCAGTCAAGGATGGCCCAAAGCCTTGGGACCCTGCACCCACATGGGAAACCCCAAAGAGCTCCTGGCTTCTGGCTTTGGATGGACTTAGCTCCGGTCATTGCAGTCACTTGAGGAGTGAATCATCAGATGGAAGATCTTCCTCTCTGTCTCTCCACCTCTCTGTATACTTTGTAATAAAAATAAAATAAATCTTTAAAAAAAAAAAAAGAAAGAAAAATGAAAACAGAGTCACTGCACTGGTCCGGAGGAAGCAGGTGGCAGCCACCACCCATGTCCTTCCCCTACAGGCCACTACTGTCCCGCTGGCCACCACCCTCAGTCCCCCTGCGCCACCTCCCACCCCCCGAAATGAAAGCAATCCAGGGGGAAAGTTTGATCTCTTCAACAAATGCAGTTGGGACAACTGCACAGCAGCCTGTCAAAAGTAAGCAAGGCCCTCTCCTGTCACCATATACAAAAATCAGCTCTAAATGGATCGAGGACGTAAGTCGCACCCAGAAACCATCAATCTATTAGAGGAAAACGTAAGAAGCACTCTCCAACATACAAGAATTTTTAGTTATTTTAGTTATAGTTATTTTTTTAATTTAAAAGCTAAATATCTCAGACATTGAGAACAAGACATGAAAAAAATCTGCACATTAATTAATTAGCACGTCTGAATCATGAAAGAAATTACTTGATTTGTGGTAAGCAGGAGTCAAATGAAATTGAATGCAAACCCAAATATACAGAAATTTAAAAGTAAAAATCTCAAAATTTCAGCTTCTGGTTAGAAATGTTATCCTAAGTGAGGCATCAAACGGTGAAAATGTATTAAACTAATCTGTTTTACTCATCTTATTTAAAAAGAAATGGCTCTTTCTTGTTGCAATTTGTAGTTTTTTAGTTTTTGTGCTTTTTTAAAGATTTATTTATTTTTATTTCAAAGTCAGATATACAGAGAGAGGAGGAGAGACAGAGGAGGAAGATATTCCATCTGCTGATTCACTCCCCAAGTGAGCGCAACAGCCGGTGCTGTATCAATCCAGAGCCAGGAGCCAGGAAGTTCCTCCAGGTCTCCCACGCAGGTACAGGGTCCCAAGGCTTTCGGCCGTCCTCGACTGCTTTCCCAGGCCACAGGCAGGGAGCTGGATGGGAAGTGGAGCTACTGGGACTAGAACTGGCACCCATAGGGATCCCGGCGTGATCAAGGCAAGGACTTTAGCCACTAGGCCACGCTGCCGGGCCCAATAAATCTTTTCTAACAACTAAATATGTTGGGCCTGGAGCCGTGGCATAGCAGCTAAAGTCCCCACCTTGAACGAGCCTGAATCCCATGTGGGCACTGGTTCTAGTCCCAGTAGCTCCACTTCCCATCCAGTTCCCTGCCTGTAGCCTGGGAAAGCAGTCGAGGATGGTCCAAAGCCTTGGGACCCTGCACCCACATGGGAGACCTGGAAGAAGTTTCTGGCTCCTGGCTTTGGATCAGCATAGCATTGGCCATTGCGCTCACTTGGGGAGTGAATCATTGGACAGAAGATCTTCCTCTCTGTCTCTCCTCCTCTCTGTATATCTGACTTTGAAATAAAAATAAATAAATCTTTAAAAAAAAGCAAAAAATCACAATGGAAAAAATCTACAGACCAATATCACTTGTCGATATAGATGCCAAAATTCTCAGCAAGGTACTAGAAAACCAACTCAAAACAGCACATTAAAAGAATATACACCAGGATCAACTGGGAATTATCACAGAAATGCAAGAGTAGTTCAATGTAAGAAAAATCAGTGTGATAATGCCACATTAATAGAGCAAGTGTGGAAAAGCATATAGTATGTCCGTGCAGAATGGGGTATTTACAAATCCTGTCTCATGAGGGTTTAGAATTCAGAATGTAGAAAAAAAAATTCTTCCAACTGAAAACAAAAAGGCAATTCTATTTTTTAATGGACAAAGGACTTGAACAGACATTTCTCCAAAGAAAATGAGTAAATGGCCACAAGCACTGAGAAGATGTTCAGCATCTTTTCGACATGA